TGTTCCAGCCACCAAAATATCCCCCGTGCCTTGGGAAGGGCCCTGCACACAACAATACTTAGAAATATTTGTCACAGGAATGGACCAAGAAGTCTTGTGGGCTTGGCTATTCCCTGGGAAGGTATTATTTAGGGACCTTGGTGGTGTAGTAATTAAAGTATTTGGCTATTAACCAAAAGGACAGTTCATACCCACCAGCTGCTCCAGAGAAGAAAGATGAGGCACTGTGCTTCTATAAAGATTTACAGGCTTGGAAACCCTGTGTGGGGCAGTTCTACTGCACCCTATAAGGTTGCTATGATTCAGCAACTCAATGGTAGTGGGTTTGGTTTGGTTTGGTGTTAGAGCCCACACACTCTTAGGTTGGGTGGCACTCACCACACGGAAGGACAATGACTCCTGAGCGCGCACGCCCATTCCCAAACATCTTCCGCAAGCTCTTCTCCTGGTAGGGTCTAAGGACGGCTGTTGGCTTCAGGTCAATATTGATGTCAGGGTTGACAGAATCGTTCCGGAAGTCATATTCTGCCAACAGAGGATACTCCAGGTGGATGCAACGTTTCTGGAGTTCTTCAATCATTTCCTAGGGAATGAACACAAGTCAGGGTTTATAACCTTATTAATTCTAAAGCCTGTTCAAAAAATGGCAAATATTCTAGGCAGCCCAATAATCAAAGCACAGCATATTATCTAACCTGTGAAGACTGGTCTACCAACCTAAGGAACAGGGCACCTGACCCTAATTCCATCAGAAGGGATGATGCTATGGCCTAAAGACATCAACAAAGGAGAAGCAACTAAGAATCTCGAACCAGGAAAGAGATACATTCGCTAACCTGCTTAACTTCAAAAGATACTGTTTGTGTCTCTTCTTCATCTTCCTCATCCTTGTCCATTTGCTCATAAAAGTCAAACAGGTCAGTAGGGATGTCAGCTTTACTCTGTGTATCTGTCACTCGGGATGAGGAGGGCCCACCACTCCCTTCAGAAGTTTTAGAAATCTTTAAGAGAAAGAAAAAAGGTCCAAACTTGCATGCAATCTCAAAGGAAAGAAAATTGCAAGGCCACTAGGTGGTAAATGCAGGACTAGAAGCACCTGAGAGAGCTAAAGTTTTAAAAAGATACCCCTCCGCCCAATCCAAGGGCAACCCAGGTTCACATACAGCAGATTTGCTTGTAAATGTCTCTGTGATGAGTTCAGTAGCCTCCCCATCAGAGTTCCTCAGACGGCATTCCCGTATCACTGGATCCTGGAGAAGATGCTGGATGACATCAGGGTGGGAGCTTTCAACAAAGTACCTACGAGCAGGGGAGGAAGGAGATGCCTACTGACCAGCACACCATTTCCAAAAGGTACTATTGCTCATCCAACTAGATGGTTTGGAAACAGCAGCTACATAAAGTCTCTCTCCACCCTCTCATTCCCCCTCAATCCTTTGCCAATCTGAGCTATGAGCTTCTATGAGCTTCAATATTCATAATACATGAATACTGTAGGAAAACCCCCAGCTTTGAAGTCAAATAAGCAGGGGTTTAAGACACAGTGCCACTGAGAGGAACACAGTGGCCAGTGAGCCAATTTCCACTTTGGACTGTATCACTTCTTACTTCTCTGAGTTAAGCTCCAAGGGAGTATAGGTGTGGGTGCACAGCAGATAGTTCATAAATGTCAGCTCCAGGTTTCCAGAGCCCTATCTCCCACCTTGTACACAGCAGAAGAAAGTGCCCAGGGATGGGCCTATGGAGGAATCTCTTACCTGTTATGCTTTAGGACTAGCTTGACTTTTCCGTAGCTGACAGTACACAACTACAAGAGTGACAACATCAAATATGGAAAATTAGCAACGAGCAGATTTGGAAAGCCTCAGTACATTCTCATTACAGGTCACATTTTGCTACCTACTAACTCTGATAGCATAGTGCCTAAGGCACTTGACTGCTAAGCAGAAGGTTGGCAGTTCAAACTCACCAGCCACTCCTCAGAAGGTTGGGCAATCTACTTCCATAGTGATGTTGTTGTTGTTGTTATTTGCCATCGAGTCGGCCCCGACTCCTAGAGACCCCTCCTTGGGTTTCCGAGGCAGTTATCACTACGGAAGTAGGATTGCCCAACCTTCCTTCCGAGGAGTGGCTGGTGGGTTTGAACCTCCAGCCTCCTGGTTAGCAGTCAAGTGCCTTAGGCACTATGCTACCAGAGCTCCTAGTGATACTACCTCGGAAACCCGAGGAGGGGTCGTTATGACTCGACGGCACACAACAACAACAATACAGCTAGAGTGTATTTGACTTTAAAACCAAACCAAGCTCACTGCCGTCGAGTCGGAGACAACTCACATGCCCACTTGCCTTGATAAACTGAGTAATTCCATCAGGCACACCAGTCTTGCTGAGCTTCCTGAGGTACTCAGTGATGTCACTAGTTTGCAGTCCAACACTGACAGCTGCATACAGGGAGTAGGCAGTTAGTTTGTATTCATGCACATGGGTTGGTCGGCACACTGGCTCTGCAATAGCCACCAGGAAGTCTTGAGCATATTTGTAAACTGGAGAGAACGCTTCTAAGAAGATGTGGCCATCAGGAGCCTGAGAAAACCAAGCCGATGTAATAGACAAGGAAACAATATATTAAGATGCAGAAAACATCTGCTCCTCCCCTAGATTCAAGAAAGGATAAGCTCTCCTTATCAAGAGGGCTATTACAAGCACTCTTTCAATCAACCACTACTTCAGTAAGATACAGAAGAACAAAAGCTCACTATCTCCCATTATTCTTCACAGGGAAAGCCCGACTTACTGGCTATACAAATCCTCAAGTAATCTTTTAGCTGAATTTCAACTGAACGTAGAACATTTCAAAATGAGCAAAAGCTGCCTGGCAGAGATATCTTGCATTAATTTTTAAAAATGGGGGAATAAAATGTTCTATGATTTATTTGAATATAAAAGCATTTTCAAGCATGGGGTAGTGCTGTGGAGGGAGAGAAAGAAGAGGGTTAGAGCTAGAGGAAACTCAAGTCTGGCGGACTACATGTGCACATCTGCTCATTCCTATCGCAGGCTGTTCAAGGTGTGTAGGAAAGCTGTCTCTCCTAGCAGGTTCTGAGCGGCAATATTCTGTATTTCTATTTCAGCTCTGAGAAGGCCTAGGATTTAACTACTGCTCCACAGACTCTCGTGATCTGCCTGAGGGCTTGCTTACCACCCAGAGAGGCCTGGAGGTGTGGTCGTCCTTCAGTGGCATCTGCAGCCTGTAGTCTTTGGCTCCATACTCATCCACTTTAGTGCCGGATTCATCTACCTGCTTCCCAGCTGCCGAGGGAACCGCTTCCTGAGAGTCGTTCCCAGGGACGTCGTCTTCCTCTACTTCCTCATCCTCGTAGTGCCGCTTCTTAGACTTTTTCTTATCTGCAAATACGGACCCAGAAGTGAGTCTGCCAGAGACTACAGTTTCCTCTGCACTGCCCCGCGCCATTCCAGAGGAACTTAGGAGCCGCATTTCACCCGTGGGTACTCTCCCTCAAGCGCTCCCGACCTGGCCCAGGGCGCAGGCTGCCCACAAGTCAGGACTCTCCTCCCGCCCCGCGGGCGAGGCCTCTACCCGACCTGGGACCTGGAAGGGCAGGGCGTGCTAAGCCTAGGGATTTGCGAGCTAACCCGCGGCTAGAGGCCCAGGAGTAGCTACGACCCAGGAGCAGACAAGGGATTGGAGAGTGGAGAGAGGCTAGAGTGGGCGCACCCACGTCTTACCGCGGTCAGCCCGGTCTTTTTTCCCCATAGCAGTTACAGCACAAATCACCCAGCGTCTCCACACCTTGCTGTGATTACGATTTTCCGGCAAACACACAGGAAGTCCCGCCCCTCGGAGCCTAGGGGCGTGGCAGGTGCCGTGACTTGGGCGCCAACTTAGTATGGCCTTGCACTGAGCTCTTTTTATTCATTCCCCTGTTCGTTTCAGGATATATTTATTGAGTGCCTTATTATGTACCTGGGAGCTCTATTTGCCAAGTGCCTAAGGCATTTGACTGCTAACCACGAGATTGGCTGTTCAAACCCACCAGCCACTCCTCAGAAGGAAGATTGGGCAATCTATTTCCCTAGTGATAATGCCTCGGAAACCCAAGGAGGAGGGGACGCTAGGAGTCGGTTCTGACTCTAAGGCAGTGAGTTTGGTTTTTGTTTTTTATTATGTACCGATGAGTTCTGGTGGTGCAGTGGTTAAACCATTTAGCCGCTAATCAAAATATCAGCAAATCAAACCAGCTGGAGATAGATAGGCAGTTGACTTGTAAATATTCACAGCCTTGGAAATCCTATGGGGCAGTTCTACTCCGTCTTGTAGGGTCTCTATGAGTGGAAGAAACTCCATGGTAGTGGTTTTTTTTTTTGGTATCATGTATCCGTCAGGCACTGTTTTAGCTTCAGGGAATAGGCCAGTGAACACCTTCAAGGCCTTGTCCTGGGAATTAAATTCTAATAGAAAGATGTGGGCAGTAAGCAAATAAATATGATGTTAAGTGCTGCAAGGAAAATTAAAGTGGGGCCAAGGGTGATAGGGAGTTCCATTCTAAATAGAGTGGTTAGGGAAAACCTCTCTGAAGTGGTATTATTTGATCAAAAATCTGAAAAAATTGAAGCATGTTTTGTAAACAACAAAGATGATCATGCCTCATGAGGAACAAGCACTAACATGAGGAAGATACATGTTTGGCATTTAGGAGGAAAATGAGAGAGGAAGAGGATATGGTGCTGTAAGTGTAGAGCAGTGGTTCTCAAAGTCAAGTCCCCTGGCAGCATCAACACTATCCTGAAACTGGTTAGAAAGGCAAATGTGAAGTAATCAGGCCCCATTCCAGACCTACTGAATTATAAAACTCCAGAAATAGGACCCAACAATCTCACCCTTAATACAATTCTGATGTTCACCTTTGAGAACTACTGATTGGATTCTTGTTGGCCATTGCAGGAACTTTAGGTTTTATTATGACATGGGAAAGCACTGGAACATTTTGAGCAATCAAACCACTCTAACCTAGCTGCTGTGTTGAAGATCCAAAACCACAAAAAACAAAAAACAAACTCACTGCTGTCAAGTCAGATCCAACTCATAACGACCTCTCCAAGGCGGTATCACTATGAAAGTAGATTGTCCAACCTTCCTTCAGAGGAGTGGCTGGTGGGTTTGAACCACCAGCCTTCTAGTTAGCAGTCAAATGACTTAGGTACTATGTCACCAGAGCTCCTATATTGAAGACAGACTTTACGAAATCAGGGGCAGCTATTGCAGCAGCCCAGGTGAGACATGGCTGGCTTTACCAGGGTGGTGGGGTAAAGGTGATGAGAAGTGGCTCCATTCTGAATATATTTTGAATGTAGAGCAGATGTGATTTGCTGCCTAGCTACAGGAAGTGAGAAAGAGGAGTGAAGGATAGCTCCAGTTTTGGCCCAAGCAACTGCAAAAAAGTTTCAGAAATGAAGATGGAAAAGCCAGGGAGGGTACAGATCTTGAATGTGAGTTTCTGTCCTGGAGGAGTTTATCTTAAGAACAAGTAATGTTTTGATTTATTATGGATAAATTTGTTTAGCTTATTGCTTCGTTTATTGTTTAGTATATTATTTAGTGTATAGTCATGCGGATGAATGCAATTAACATCTCAAAACATTCATATAACATTGGAGAATCAGAATTAAGAATTACAATGTTAGTTTAAATGTTAGTGTCCAAATCTTTCTACTTCAGACTTTTATGTTTAATGAGTGGTCTCGGGCAGGAGACTTGACCTCTCAATCTCTGAGACCCCCCACAACTAGCATTCGAGGTTGGTTGTTACAAGCAGTATCTCAGCAGCCTTCTTAGTGTTCAGACAGTCAGAGAGACCTATTGCTTCTGTCTTCTCCAAAAATTGGCAGAAATATGTTTAACTATAATTGGTATGTTTTATTGCCAATTAGGAAATTGTATTTTGCTAAGTTATAAAGAATTGAATTATTACCAATTAAGAAATTGTTTCATGACAGATTTAAGTACTTATTTACTACATATGTTCAAAGCCAAGTTGATTAATTTAAAATTACGGGAATTGTTTAGTGACAAAATTATGTTTTGTTAATTTATAAAGATTTGATTAATGGGACATTCTGTTATCACAGAATGCAGGTGCATAGCCCAATTTAGAGAAGTTATTTATGATCCAAGTCATATGCTTCTATTACCTATTTTCAAAGTTAGAACAACTTTCTGATGACTTATAGTTAGTTAATGGTTAAAGAGCACTATAGAAATATACATATTTCTATATTTCTATTTCAAAGTTCAGAAATTCTTTATTTTTAAGTTCACATTATAAGTAAACTTATACACAGATATTTAAAAGCATTATAAAAACATAATAGCAGTGTAAAAAGCATTATAGAAGCATACATAATACTATGTGTTTTAAGAACATTACAGAATCAGATGTGATTGGAAATCATAGAAAAAGCATACAGTAACAGTTGCCTACAAACAATGAAATGAATATCCAAGAATGAGTCTGAAGTTCAGGGACCTGGAGATATCAGTTTGGGAATTGTCATTATCTATATCATATTGACGGTAGTCCAGAAGGGAATCTTAGTGGTGCAGTGGTTAAGAGCTCATCTGCTAACTGAAGGTCAAACGGTTCAAACCCACCAGCCACTCCTGGGGAGAAAGCCATAGTAATCTGCTTCCATAAAGATTACAGCCTTGGAAGCACTATCAGACAGTTCTTCTCTGTCGTATAGGGTCATTAAAAGTCAGAGTCAGTTTAATGGTAATAGGATTGGTAAGTACAGAGATACCATTTCTAGGTGGAGAAAGTGATCACACTGTAGTAGATACTACCGATTAGGTGAGCAAACTGAAGACAGAATCAGCTTCAGGATTTGCAACGTAGAGATAGGTTCTCAGCTGAATGGCCTTCAGTAAACTGAAGGTTTGTTGGTGCCGGGTTTAAGGGAATTTCACTTACTAGTCAGAGGTAAAGGAACCACATTTTATTTCTTTATTTATTTTCATTGTGATTTGGGTGAAAGTTTACAGAGCAAATTCACTTTCCATACAGCAGTTCCCATACACTTCGTCTCATGACATTGACTACAATTTACCACAATGCAACAGCTCCCCTCCTACTTCCTCCTGATAGTTCCCTCTTCCTTGTGTCCATCCCTCCATGCATCCCTCCTGCCCCCTGAGCTGTTTCCCTGTGCATAAACAGCCCTTCTGTCTCCCACGATTGTTCTCTCCAGGGAGTGTATCTACCTCAGGTAAATGTTCAACTCATATGCCTGTCTTTTGTTTGACTGGAAGCCACAGGTGTGGGTTCAATTCCAGACCTGAAGGGCAGCTATGGGCCATAAGGAGCCACATTTAAAACTGATGTATCTATCTACATTCATTCCTGGTTAATGTCAACCAGTTTTATAATTTCAGTATCATATAAATGTAAATGTTGAAAATTCCCAATTTTTATTTCTCACCAATTAAATTAATACATGACATTGTAAAAATCTTGGAAAAATAAATAAAAGCATAGAAAACTCTATTTAATTCATGGGTAACACTGTCCAAAACCACTATCTATATTTTGGTTGAGTTTTTTTTTAGGCATTTTTTCTAGAGTGTTTTTACACCATAGAAATTATTACTTGGATATTTGAATCTATATCCTCCAAACAAGCTTTGTTCACCCCAATTAAAATGAGTATTTAATGATTATTTCATATTCCATTGTATAGGAATATCAGAATTTATTTAGCCAAATCCTAATTTGGAGGCGTTTGTGACAGCTTGAGTCTACACTATTATAAATAGCTCTAAGATGAGTCTCATTAGATAGGTATCTTTAAGTGTATATAATTCTCTTAAGCCAGATTTTGAGAAATGGAAATATTGGGGTAAACACCTGAAATATTTTTACCTCTTATGCACGATGCACAGCCATCAAGTCAGATCCAACTCATAGTGACCCCTCCTTGGGTTTCCAAGGAGTTATCACTATGGAAGTAGATTGCCCAACCTTCCTTCCAAGAAGTGGCTGATGGATCTGAACCGCCAGCCTTCTGGTTAGCAGTCACATGCCTTAGGCACTACACTACCAGAGCTCCTTTTAAGCTCTTACTTACTTAAAATAGGCAAACTACTTTCCAGAAATACTATACCAATTTACACTACACAGATCTGCACTATGTGACTGCCTGTCTCATTTGACCCTTTACAACAACACTAAAACATTGAGAATTATCTTTACAACAAAATGAAACACAACTCGACTACTTTGAAGATTATAAATTAGAATGGCTAAATTAATGTTTTCATAATTTAAAATATATGTTATAGTAATGTAAAGAAAAACATTTATCATAAAAGTTCAGAAAGGAGGAAGACCTGGGGAGGATCGAACATGGTAGAATAGGCAGATACATTATCCAAACCCTCTACAACAAAGACTTGAGGAACCGAACGAAATAGATATGGATGACAATGCTGGAACCTAGAGCTTCTAAGGAAAGTATAAAGAAGTAGATCAAATACCAGTGAGAGAAGAGACTGAATGAAAACATTGAACAAGGAGGGGTAAAGTGCCAAAGGGCACAGCGCAGCCATTTTGAGTTATTGCTGTGTTCGAATCCCAGCAGGAGCCAAATAACTGACTCTATTTGTCCAGGACTGCACCAGCACCCACACTAGTGTGCTTCCCCCATTACCTTGCACAAGCTCCCACTGACCAGAGGTCCAGCTTCCCTCACCTTCACTCA